GAAGAAACTTCTGTGGAACTTGTTTTTAAAAGGTTTGTGTATTAACAGAACAAGGCTGATGCATCTGTGCTGTCTGTCTGGGCATCTTCATACTGCAGTGGTTTCTGAACTACTGGTCAACTTCAGCTAACACCTGGAAGTGTGTGGAAGACCACACTTCCACAAGTTTCAAAGGAAGCAACAGAGGGATGCACAAACCTCTGCCCTGGACAAGGGAAAAGGCCAGCAGAGACCAACAGTGATGGATGCTGGTCAGTGTGATGTGGGGCTGGCCGTGCTCAGCACATGCACAGCTCAGAAAGCCCACCAGCAGTCCATGATCATTCCTGCACAGCTCAAAGTGACCATGAGGAACCAGCCTCCAAAGAGTGCTCATGCTAAAGGACATAGTTCACTCAGTTCTCACAGGAATCCTGGAGGAGCTTGCAGGCTGTGTGCATGGGGACTGCAAGCCCTCTTTTGGGTTGGGGGGGGAGCCCTCAGAAACAGCATCAAAGACTTACATAGAGCCTGTAGCACTTAAAACAGGCTGTGAGGGACCTGCACCAAAAGATACAGCAGGATGCTGGTACAACGACTAAAACAGCCCTTGCTACCTGCATCTTAACCCTGCTGTTGAACATCCCCTAGTCAGGGTGGCACAAAATGCCATGTAGCCTCCTGAAGTGACAGCTGAAGTCAGTAAGCATCCCCTTCTTCAGAGGCAGAAACCATCAGTGGTAGACAAGGTCACACACCTATGTAAAGACTTAGTTCAGCTCATGTACTTCCCATTCACTTCTCAGACCATTAAATCGCTGTTTTCACGCTATTCTTTTATACACCATTCTGAAATTCGGGCTGCCTGAAGGGCTTTAGGTTCAGTGAATAGCAAAGCCTCCATCATGCACAAAAGGTCCCATATGCTTCCAGCAGCTCACAAGCCAGCTCCTGATTCTGCGATGACCCTGCAGGGTGGACAGTGCCCCCAGTTCTTTGTTTTGCCCCTTTCAGGACCCTGCCTGTAAGACACTTATTTCTGAGAGATTCTTCTTTTGTCTCCAGCGTGTTTAGTCTGGAGGCATCTTCTGTGATGGGCTGAGCCTGTATTACATGCACGCCCAAGGCCATGGAGGATCAGGCTCTGACCTCTCAGCCTTTCACCATGAAAATGAACAGCAGGATTCAGCTCCTCTGCAACATCCTGGAGGCACTGTGAGACTTGTTAACTGTTCCAGCATCCCCCTTCACTGCATCTCTGCCCCATCCCTGGAACTGCTCAAGGCCAGGCTGGACAGGGCTTTGAGCAACCTGGTCTAGTGGAAGCTGTCCCTGCCCATGGCAGAGGGTTGAAACAGGATGATCTTTAAGGTCCCTTCCAACCCAAACCATTCTGTGATCTCTCTAGAAGATGAATATGGAGGCCATACGCAGCTCTGCATTTTATAATAGGCAGAAACAAATTGAATCTTCACAAGCTTTACTAATCAAAAATTAATTTCAGAATTACTCAGGAAATGAGATTTGTCTTGTAGGTCAATATATTCTGAAGAAACATCTATTTGGACCATGATAACTTCAATGTCCTTTTGAGTGAACCTCTCCCCACCAATTACTCAGCAGATACTCCTTTCTGCTTCCTTCCCAGCACCAGCTGCTTCCAGAAGGAATTCTCCTGCCCACCATCTGCCTTCAAGCCTGACACAGCAACACAGACAAATGCAACTGTAAGTGATGTTTAAACTCCAAATCCAATCCCTGATTTGCTTCCTTAGAAAAAAAAAAGGAAAAAAAACAAAAACAAAAAGAAAAAAAAACTCCACAACGCAAAAAATAACATGCTTGTATCTGACCACATGCCCACTGGAATAGGCCTTATGTAGAGAAGGAAACTTCACGTATGTAAACAGCAGTATTTTTCCCAAAGAAAATTATGGTAACAAGGATTCAAGGTACACACAAAAACTACTAACTGGGACCATCACCTGATCTACAGGTTCTGAAATGATTTTAAACCAGTGCTGCTGGAATCTTGTTCCAGATAGCTCCTCGCTGGTTTAAGATGAAGCTGTTAAAAGGAATTATAATTTGACATGAAGGGAAACTTGGCAGAACCTGGCCCTACTTTCCAGCAGCCTCATGTCCTCAGCCACCCCTTCACCACAAAACTGAAACAAACTTCTCCTGCACTAGACAAGAACCTTTGGCATCAACAGGCTGACTTCTGAACAAGAGTATTTTTTTCTCTTTACATATAATTATATGCTAGCCTCCGAGCAGCTAGAAGCTCCATGTTCTTTTTCTGTATCGTGTGCTTCTTGTGAATACACATAACAGCGCAAACCCAAACCACATTAATGATAACCTTGTTAAATATAAACTAGTACGCAATTATATAAACTGCTAACACAAACAAAAAAGCCAGGAAACTCTGATTATATGCTCACAATGGTTTCTGAAAACTAAATAAAAACAACACCATAAGGCAGCCTGTCTTGCCTGATACTGTAACAGAAAACGGCTTCATGTTGTAATTAACACATCTCAGCACAGAGGACTAGTCTATCAAATGAGGCATCAAAAATTTGAAGCCCACAGCAAGGAGAGGGCAAGGGTGGGAGGAGAGACAACAGGTGCACACATGAACTACAAAAACCATCTGATTTTTCTCTCTGCTTCCCTGCATCCTCCTTCAGGTGAGATAATGCCTGCTGCTGGGCTGTTGCTGTGACTTCCACCCTATTTCGTTGAGAGGGCAGGCCACGCCTGGGCTGGCTTTTGGCTCCTTCCTCTCCATTAAGAGAGCAGCAGAAGGTCTGCTCAAACCCTCTGTTCTTGGGCTTGTGCCAGCGCTGTGCGTGCCTGTGATTTATCTTCTGTGCAGCCTACTGTGAACTCAGAAATCAGAGCCCCTACCACATCTTTTCACCGAGATGATGAGCCAATGCCCCATGCAACCTCTGTGGTCTTCAGCTGTCTGTTCCTCATGTTTAAATATATATACCTTTTCCAGAACAGAAACGAATCCACTGAAGGCAGGCCAAAGTTTGCCCCAGGCTGCACACATGCAGCATCACGGCAGCCAGCAAAGCTAGGGGCATAACCCGGAGCTGTCCTGCACCAGCTGTAATGGAGAGGTTCACATTTGTCAGTGGGGCAATCCAAGGTCTCCACCACAGATGAATGTAGCTCTCAAGAAGACAAAAGAGCATGAGAAAACCAGCATTTTCCTTACATCTTACACCACAAGAAAATACACAGTCCTAAGGAAGGACCAGAGGAGCACCTCGACAAGGTTTCCTTGGGTGACTTCCCCTTGCCATAGACTTGAGCTATCCCACAGCCTGCTTGCACATTAGCAGCACAGCTGGACTTGCATGACACTGGATTTCTAGGTTGTAAATAAGAACAGTAATTACCTTTCCCTCTAAAGTTCCAAACTGTTCTCATGTGACTAAAACCAAAAAGCACTGGTTGGGGAAGGAAGAATTCAGATATCAAGAAACAGGGGCAAAGGAAAACAATGACAGAACGACGAAGGGCTGAGGGAACAAGTGATACATAAGTGATAAGAGCACCCTTCCCAGGACTGAGCGCAGGATCAAAGCGTGCAAGCAAGGAAAATCAAGGAGGATCCTTTGGAATCCAGAAAGGTAACATAGGAATCCTGCATCAATAATGAACTCCCTAACTGGAAGGTAAAGGAGAATCCAGTCTCTTGAACAGCAGGATAATACTGCCAAGCGCATTCCCACCAAGTAATAAGTTTAAGAGTAGAAAAGAAATGTCCAAATCATAGTCTGTTGGGTCACTTCTCACCCTCAAGCATTGCACAGAACCATATCACAAACTAGAGCACACAAGCGCGTGTGTGTCACACTTCTGTGCTGGTGATCCATGGAACAATGAGAGAGCTGTCACCGCAGGAATTGTTTTGAGACACATGACTGGGAGAAGATGGGTGATAACCCACCAGCAGGCATTTTACTTGGGAAGGTGGGGCTCCCCCACCCCAGCACCTGGAAAGAGGCTCAAAAAAGCCACCAATACAATCCAGATGGAATACAGAAAAGCCAGCAGTCATGGGGCACACAGCTAAGACAACTTTCTCCTGGGATACCTCCAATTTCTCCAAGCTGATTGGTTTTGAAGGGACTTTTCTACAGGTGGCTATGCTCAATTACCCTTACAAACCCTTGCAGTATCATGTGACTCAAAGTCTACCTATTTGTCCAAGGGAGAAAAGAGAAAGGAGCGTGGCAAATGGGGAATGTGGGAGGGGTGAGCACCGTGGGCTTGTGGAGCAGTCATTTCCTCCAGCTTCTACCCTGGCTCTCTTCCCCAACCCCAGCCTTTGATACCCGAGTGTGTCGTTGAAGAAGTGAAGGAAGACGGTTTTTTATCCGAGGAGCAACTACTCACATGCATTCGCACATTTTTACATATTTGCTACCTTCTTAGCCAAAAGTCTCTGATTTTCGAGCAGGTGAGATTATTCCTTTGGGAATTAAAAGGCAAAAGAGTAGCCAGCCGCAAGGAACATCCCAGAGGAACATTACGTGCTTGCAGATAGCGAGCTTATTTATGGAGGTAGCAAGATGTTGGTCACACCATGCGCGTACACCGTAATCCGTGGACAGCGATGCAAAGGTTTCCTTCCCCTCTACGGGCTGCAGACCTGGCTGCAGCGCACTTGGTTCGGGGTTGGCTCCCTGCCTGTCAACAGGCAGCACGGCGGACTCAGTCCGTCACCAGCCACGAGAAAGTGGGGACAACTGCCCCGGCTGCGGGGACGATCGGCTGCACAAGCCTGCCTTGCTTGGCAGGACCGAAACTCTGGGTCACTCACACCCAGGCGCGGAGAACCGCTGCGGCGGGGCGGCTCGGCTACCGCCGCGCACCGACCTGCCCTGCCCGCCCGTACATCCCTGCCGCTGCCGCTGCCCACACCCCGGGCGAGCCGGCCGCCCGCCCTTCCCGCGCATCACCCGCGCACCCGCCGTCCCCGCGGCGCGCCTTACCGGGACCGCTGCAGCTCGAAGGCGGAGGCGGAACAGCTCTGCCCCAGCTCTCCGCTGCCGCCGCCGGGGCCCTGGGGGCTGGTGCGGCCGAAGGGCGCCGGCAGCACCCCTGCCGTGAAGGAGTTGAGGCGGCCCCGGCTGCCCGCCGCCGAGGCGCCCAGGAAGGCGGCGGCCGGCACCTGCACAGCGGCGAAGGCGTCCTCCTCCTCTTCCTCCTCTTCCTCCTCCTCCTGGGCCCGGGGGGTCTCGGCGGGCACCCCCGGGGGGCTGCCAAGCCGCGGCGGCGGCGGTGGCTGCGGGGCCTGGCGGGGCCTGGCAGCGGAGCCGTCGTTGCCCGGCGGCGGGGGCCGCCCGTCGAGGGAGATGCTGGTGAGGAAGGAGAGCGCGGCCTGCCTACGGCGGGGGTCGCTGCGCGCCGGCGGCGGCTGCAGCGGCCCCGGCGGCGGCGGCCCCTTCCTGGGGCAGGGCTCCGGCGGCGGCAGGGGCCCGGCGGCGGGACTGCCGGGGCTGGCGGCGGTGGCGGCCGCCGCCATTGTCGGCCGGCTCCCCCTCCCCTCTTCGCTGGCCGGGCTCTGGCTCTGGCTGCCTGCCCCTTAGGCGGGCGGGCGGCGGGACATGGGTGCCGTCGGCCCGCCGGGGTGCATGGGGTTGTCGCGGGGGTACCCTCCGCCCGGGCGCGCCGCGCTGTCCCGGGCCCCCGCCGCCCGCCCGCTCCGTATTTATAGGTGCAGCCGCGCCGCCGAGCGCCCTGTGCAATAACACGGCAATCACGTGTGGGAAACGGGGAGCTGGAGGAAAACAAAAGCCCGGCCAGCAGCCCGGAGGAGGAGGGAGAAGGGTGGGTCTCGGCGAGCTCCCTCCTTTCAACCTCTCTCTTTTTTTTTTTCCCTTTCACCCCCTTCCCTCCTCCTCCTCCTCCTCCTCCTCCTTCTTTTCCCTTCCTGGATGCGTGGGGGCGGGCGGGAGCCGGGGAAGGTGGAGTCTGTGCCTATAGTACACGGCACATGGCCCTCGGAGGCTGCCCCCGGCAGCGCTGGTCGCGCGGGCTGCGGGTCGGCACGGCTGCTGGAGAGGTACCGGCTTACAGCCGTGCATTGGGCAGCGGCCTGGGTGCTGCCCCGCTGGTTTCCCGGGCGGGGACCGTGGCTCCGGGGCTGTCGCAGGCACCCTGGGGATGCGCTTGGCTGCCGGCAGCTCATCCCCTCGGTACGGCAAGCCTGACCTGCCCCAGCTCGTATAGGCTGCCTGCTGCAGTGTAAGGCATGTGTGTGTAAGTCACATCTAAGGAGTTCCCCAGACCATTAAAGCAATCCCCTCCCTAACCTTTCCTTCTCTCCAGCACCGGCGAAAGTCCAGTTGGTTTGCCCTCTCCTATGTAGCGCAAGCCTCAAATGTCTGTATTCCCTGTCTTCTCTGAAGTGGTCTGTTGTGCAGCTAACTGCAGGTCTGCACCCTCCCTCCTCCTTGCAGCTGCGGCTCAGGAGGGCGAGCAGCCAGTCCAGCTCAGCAAAAAAACTTCTTCATTTCTTCGTTACTTTATTTTGATCAACTCAACCGTGCTACAAGTGCTCTTGCCCTGTGAAGATAATTTCATCAATGGCTTATGTAAGGGTTGGATAACAGATATATACAAACAGCAGAACATATGGTTGTTGCAAGATAGCAACGTGTGCCTTCTTCATAAAGCATTACAATGACTTGTGTTATATTCCACTTATAGTTGGTAGATGATTTACAAGCCATCCCAAACTGTCACAAAGACTGTAATGTTCCCTACAATTTTATCAAAAGCTTGTTAATTTGGTTAAAAAAAATTAGATTGACCAGGGAGGGGAGCCTAATCATAAGAATCATAGAATCACAGAATAGCTTGTGTTGGAAGGGACCTAAAAGATCATCTAGTTCCATCCACCTGCCATAGGTAGGGACGCCTTCCACTGGACCAGGTTGCTCCATGCCCCATTCAGCCTGGCCTTGAACACTGCCAGGGATGGGGCAGGCACAGCTTCTCTGAACAACCTGTGCCAGTGCCTCACCACCGTCATAGTGAAGAATTTTTTCCTAATACCTAATCTAAATGTCCTATTGCTGGAGGAATCTATGGACCCAGGTTTGCATTCATCTCAAAACCGACCTTTTGAGCATTCAGTGACTTTAGAATCAAGTTCTGTGACTTGGACTGATTTCTGAACGTTTGGCTTTTACTGACAATGAGCACCGCAAAACCTGATCTTCAAGGGGTCAAGTCCCTGGGATGTGCTCCTCATGTAGTAATGATGCTATCCAGGAACAGGAAGCTGTGAGCAAGGGAAGGGGAAATGATGGAGGAAAGGGAAGTTTCCCAGATCCCACATTCTTAGAGAAGTGCTATTTTGAGACGGGCATTCTCATTTCAGACTGCTCTCTTGAGGTTTACCCAGATGCTATCTTTCTTAACAGAGGGCACTGTTGTGTCTGTCCCTGCAGCACATCAAGGATGGATCATTTGGATAGGAAGGCCTGAGTGCTAGACTTGCCTCCCCAGGGAAGAGCCCAGCTGGCATCTCCCACCTGGGACGGTGGATGCTCTGTACTCCTGTACTTGCAAAGTGTCCTTCAAACTTTTGTTTCGGAGAGGAAGACTGAGGAATTGCAGGCCTGCTGCCTTCCTTTGATGGGGCAGGCAATGTCTGTGCCTGACCAGAGGCCCTATATCTGCAGTGGGAGCTAGCAAGTTACGTGGTGTTGGGGCACGGATGCACTTGGCTCCCATGGAGGAGCTCCATGCTCCTTTTGAGACAGTACTGCTTTCAGAAGAATTCAGGAGGTTTTGGAGGAGGGTCCTCAGCCACAGAGAAATGTCACAGCTTTGTAGCTTGGTAGTTAGTATGTTCATTGGATGCTGACCTCTGGTCCAGGAACTACTACTAGGTGGTAGATAGGTCATTAAACACAGGCCTCCCACATTACAGCTGAGTAAGGTATACATTGGGAGGTTTTTTTCTCCTTTTGTGTTTCTGAGGGGAAGCAGCCACAGCATGTATTTTTCTCTGGAGCTCAAAAGCTTGCTATGGCAACTGAGTCCAGTGGCGTATTTTCCAAATCCAGCTTGTCACAAGACACAGGTCTGGGAAAGAATCACCCCTAAAACACCAGGTGGGGTTCCAAAGGATGGTCTAGCCTGGGACAGTTTTTATGAGTGCAGAAGTGTGCATTCGTTTCCCAAAATTACTCTTGTGATGGGATAAATCGCTCTTGATTGCTGCATTATTTTAAATGGAGCAAAACCTCTGCTCTAGAGCTCCTCTAGAGCTGTCCCACAGGAAAGCATTCCCCCCTCCCTTGTCCGCATGTTCATCCAGATGCTTTCAAACACATTGAAACCAAGACAGTGGGTTAAAACATCCCTTCAACTGCATGTGAGAATAAACCCGTTTGAGAAAGCCACGTACAAGAAGAAAAGCATGAATTTCTCAGTCTAAAGTGAAGCTATTTTTAATAACGAGTGGGGTACAACAGTAGAAGTATAATTGGCATGTCAGAAATATCAGGTTCTCTAGACCTATTTATACATTTAGTAGCAAGTTTAAATGAACGTGCACAACCTAAGGTAAATGTTTTCCAGTTACTTATGTCTTTTGATCTGTGCTTAGCAAAACTGTAGATGATTACATGTGCCACAGTAGTCCTGTCTGCTGGAGGATACGTGGAAATATTAAGCTGACTTTGCCGGTTGAAACTTTTTTCTTTGATGGGGAACCAGTGGTTGGCTAGAGGAAATAGCAAAGTTGAAAGGAAAACCAAAAAGACATTCTGGAAGCTTGCTTCTGTGACTGTTTTTTCAATCATCTCCCTCTCTTGAGTTCTCTTCCAAACAACCAGCTCTACCCAAGTGCAAGTGAACTGTTTTTATTTCAGAGGTCACAGGCTTATATAAGTGGCTGGATGGCAAGTGGTAATAAGAGTGGTAGAGCGTGATGGCTTTTTCACCCAGTGCACCAAGAACTGGCATAAAGACTCGTCAGTTGTGGGTGTTCAGAGACAGCATGGAATTTGGGGGGCCCATTAACAGGCGAGTGGAGAGGCTGGCTTTAAAGAGGTTGAAGAGAGTGGAGAGAGTGTGGACAAAAATGAAAGCACAGCAATTTAATAGTCTAAGAAATGAGACTGGAGAAATGGCTTCTGCGTGCCTGCGTTCAGAGGAAAGTTAACCCAGGTGTGGAAGCCTCACATTGTCTTGGGTGTCCTTTAGCTAACATGAGGGTAGTCCTGCTGCAATGGGAGGATGCAGCCAGCAGGATGTGAAGACACAGTCTGAAAGGCCCCAGACTTTGATGTAAAGCTGGGCTCCTGAGTGGCTTGCCAAAAGCTCTTTGCAGGTGAATTGAAAACTTCACCTGGAATTTGAGTTAGAGGCAAGATTTGTATTCTTCTGAGAGTTACCTCTGCAGGTCCTGAGTCACAGCACGAGTCACCAGGCTGGTTCTTGAGTGACCTCAGCACAGTTTGCCTGCTTTAGTGACAAACCCAAGTTTCTTATTGTCAGTGATATTTGTGGGAGCTGCAGGAAGCTAGGGGAAGAAAAGCTAAATGCAGTTGTCTCCTGTAAATTCAACAAGTTTGTTTTCTGGCTGGCAGGACCAGTCAGGTGATGCTGTTATGAAAAGCTCAGCAAAGATGTAGTCTGGAGATACCACTTCTGAGTTCCAGTAGTTGAGAACAGATGCCATTATTATTGGTAGTCATGGATATCACTATCAGATCCCAACAGTCAGGCAGATTTCCCATGTTCTGTGAGGACTCTTGCCATGCAAGATTTTGTAGAAGTAAAAAAAAAAAAAATGCAATCTTTATAAATGCTTTCTTCTTTCCTTCCCAAAATCACCTTTCAGAAGAAAATTTCACTTCAAAAGAGGAAAGCAGCTGTGACATTGGAGAAAGAAAAATATGAATTTAATAATCTTTCTGCTTAGAAGGAGTGCCTGGCAGAAAAAAAGTAGAGGCAGTTTGAACACATTGCATTGAGAGCCATAGTTAAGAATGGAAATTGGATAAAGGCAGTACAAATTCTTTACAAAAGACTAATACTGCATCTGGATAGCAAGGCCTGTTTTGGTGCCAGGCCCTAACCTTCAGTCTGTTGCAAATTTAGCCTGATTCTCAGAAATGCTAAGTACTTGTGCTTCCCATTAGTGATTTTTCAGGAGCCAGGGGCTTTTACTTGTTGAGGGCCACCTTTGCTAACTGAAATGTAAAAGCTTAACAGTAGTACGAGTGTCACCCTGTTTGGAGAGCAGCATTCCCTGGGTAGTGTAGGTCCATACTTGCCTGTCTGCGAAGAACCTAACTTTGTTTGCGTTGTTCCAACGTGGGTGCCAACATTACCAAGTTAACATAAAACCAAATTCATATATGGCATTGTAGCCACCTAACATTGTGGTTGGAGTAGTGTGTGTGACTGTGGGGCAAGATGTGCAGAAGCCAATGTCCTCAGCAAAGATGAAACAGATTGCTGAGTTGTGGGTAGTCAGGACACCCAACCTGCCAGTTATTTTGGATGTCAGAGGTGTGGCATGTGTGTGCATTGTAATGTTCCTGAGATCTGCAGTAAGCCAGTAGTGTACATGTGGGTGGTAGAGCCAATTTGATAGTCATTTGTCTCTCAGAAATTAGGGCAGTCTAGATAAGTCATAAATGGCATCTGTATCATTACTCCAACTTAGAGTACCTTTAGGTGAGGCTCATGGCAACAGCCATTTATTAACAGTAATGAATGTTTTCTATTACTAGATCCAATTCAGGCCAAACATTTCTTGGAAAACTTTGGTCAGAATGGTTATGCCAGCCCTAAAGGCAAGACCATGAGAAACACATTGCTTTACCCACATTAGAAGTTCTTGTGACCTTTCCTTTGATATTTCCCTTGTGACTTTTCCTTTTCCAACCCTAACTATTGTATGATTCTGTAGACTTGGGTGGCATGGTTTAGTGTGAGGTGTCCCTGGCCATGGCAGGGGAGTTGGAACTAGATGATCTTAAGGTCCTTTCCAACCCTAACTATTCTATGATTCTATGATTCTATACTCCGGCATCCCTGCACTGAGACAAGAATCCAAGAGGTGGGCTTCTGTCTCTGAGTTGGGGCTGACAAAGGAGAAGGGGGTGCCCTTCCTGTCAAAATCTACCCAACTCTGTTGAATTTGAAACCTCTGAATCATAGCTCACATATGCTAGCTAGGAACTCATGACCTACCAGCTAAAACTGCCAGTGAGGATACCTTTTCATGGAGCAAACTTCAGCCTCCTGCATTTGCCGAATGGGCTGAGCATATGTAGCACCCAGACCTACAGAAGCCTTGGGGGGGATGTTCCCAGCTATTCTGGGGCATGGTGGAGGCAGCTGCTGGACCATGGGTGCAAAGCAGGCAAGCGGAGTAGAGGAGGGAGCAACCTGTGTGGATTTGGAGGTGGAAGGAGCTGCAGGAAAAAAGATACCATCCTTGGATTTGATGCATGCACATGGGATGGGGGGCTGAGGGTTTGCACATCCAGCATGAGTTCCTCCATGATTGAATTTTTAAAGTTCTTCATTCAACTTAAGCTGGCTTTGACGTTTTTTGTTGTTTCTGCTGTTGTTTGTTCACTCTATACGCTAATGAATCCCTTAAAGACCCACACTAAACTGGGATCTCCATTTTACTGGGTGCTGCTGAGGGGCTCTCCCATGCCTCAGTGAGCTTGCAGGCTGACTAGACAAAACAAGGAAGGTGGCCATGTAGGAACTGCCACCGGAATGTGACTGTTGCTGGCTCCTACTGGAGTGATTAAATGGGAACAGGGCCACATAGCTCCTCCCTCCCTTGAAAAACAAAAACTGTGGGCACTTGTACAGAAAACAACCCCTGTCTCTGTTTGTCCTTGTCTTGCTGCAGTTCTGATCTGTGAAATCAGACTTTCTTTTTGCAGTATCACAATGTTAATGTAGACATAAAGTTCAAAATGGAGTAGTCTTTATTGAAACAAGGAATGGGCAAATGTCCTGTCTGCCTGGAAATGAACAAGCAGTGGTGTAAATAAAGGGCGACTCGTAACTGCAGGAGAACAGAAAGACTGGTCGCTAAAAAGAGCTTTTTTTTAAGGTTTTCATCAAGTGACAACTGTGATTTGTCCTGCTCTTTACTATTTTGAGAGAGTTTGGAATCAAATTCAGAATCACTGAACATTAAGGTTTCAGAGGGAAGCTGGGAAGAACATCCATCCTCATCACGGTGACTGTTAATTTTTAATCACCTTGGCATAATTTTAAAACAGGCTGCAGGTTTCTGACACATTCATGTGAGCGTCTCCTTTGGTTTGCTGGGGGTAGGAAAATCCTCCAGTTCACAGGACAGCCAGACTGAGGAGCTGGGTGTCAGTGAAAACGCTGTTGACACCTTCTCAGACATGGTCTTCAATGAGTAAAAACATGAAATAAATGGAATCTGAAGTTCCCAGAGGGACGTGCTGTTGGAGCATTTCACTTCAGTGACTCTCCTGCGAGTTCAGCTTGACTGGAAATGTTTAATATCCAAGAAAAAGGAGGAAAAAAAAGGTTCAAAGGACTTTTTTTTCTCCTCTTGAAAATATTACATTCAGGGAGCGTGACTCTAAAGGGAATGAAGGAGGCAAATGGAAAACTTCTTGGCAGCAGGAGCTGAGGTTTTGCATTCAGCTCAATGGCATTTTTTGGTCTGTGTGCAATGTGATATCCCGTGAGCGCCACACTTGGTTCACTCAGAAATTTCAAGGAAGGTTTCAGATCCCTTTTAACTTTGCTAGATCCTCAGTGGCCAGTACTTATCGCAGGCTGTTGTGGAAAGCTGGCAGCCATGGAGGAGAAATAAAACCTCTGCCTGCACCCTTGTGTCCTGTCACCGTGGGCCACCTCATGTATTATTTCCAAGTCCTATTTATAATGCTTTATGTGCATAAACTATGAGCAGCAGGTACCAGGGAGTGTGAAAATCCAATCCAAAACATATCCACCCATTATGCTGGCTGCCCAAGTGGCATGATTGGTTGTAAATGTTCCAAGACCCCTCTCTGGTTATAAGCATGCTTTATATAACCTAAATGATGCTCAGGTAATTTGCATTTGCTTCATTCAGGCTGTGTGCTCCCAGGTTGCTCAGGGGTCTGTGAGGTCTATAGCCACTTCTCCTTTCACCCAGGATAGGGCACAGCTCTGAAACCTCCAAGCAATACTTCCAGGTAAATATTTGCCACTGGCAAATTTGCAGTGTAATAACCCGTCAGTCCCAGGGTGGCCAAAAAACTGGCACAAGCGACCAAACTGTTGAGAAGGAAGGCGTAATGATGGCAAGCTTTGTGGCAGGGCATATGGGGCCAGCCTCCGCTGCAGGCTGGGTGGGAGGAGGATGGCTTGCAGGTCCTATTCCCAAAAACCTCTGAGCTGCCAAAGGCTGCACACCTCCGATACTGATGTGAGCCCAGCCACAGGGCTGGGTCACGTTGTGGACTTCCTACCACTCCAGAGGTCTTTCATGGCTCCCTGCAGCTCTGGGTCACTGCCATAGTGCTGATGTGGGACTACTGTCTGTGCTTCCCAAGTCCTCCTGCTTGACTTTATGCCAGGAGGGGAGAGACTCCAGCCCCCTAATCAAAGAACAGCAAATTCACCTGCAGTGGAACGGCCATGAGTGCCCCAACTCTGCACTGGGGTCTGCCAGGACAATTGCCTGCACATGGGGTGGGGAGCAGCTTCCTGCCACTGGGGGGAAACCAGCAGCTCGACACTATCCTGAATAAACATAACTTGTCACATGCATATTTATAGAACCCCGTAGACATTAAATCTGCTAAGAATCGGTCTAAACAGGATACATTTCTCCTCTCAATGTTTTGGCAGGAAAGTCTTCTAAGCAGGAAATGGAAATGACATAAACCGAAAGGTAATTCCCTGGCAAGACAGATCCAAAGTCTTCTGCTGTCTGCTCAAATTGAATAGCACCTCGGTGCAATAATCTTCACGTTGAGATCAATGAGGCTGTTTAAATAAATGAAGCATTCAAGTGTAGTCTTCTAAAGCGAGGCAAGAGAGATGGCATTGAAATCAAAAGGCTAAAATTCAAGCCTACTTGAGCCCCAAGGAAAGGATAAACCCTTTAAGCTAGCTGTGAAGAAATAAGAGCTGGAAAGAGTCTGACAGATCCATTCTAAAACTTCTTGCAAAATAAAACTTAGGGGCCAGAAAGCAAACTTACTAACAAGATTTTGGCTGTGTGTGTGTGTATGTATGTACATATATACATATATTTCACTTTGCCCTGTGGGGATGTAATGCAATTAGATATAATGAGACGTAATACATATGCTCAAACTAGAGCAATAAAAGGAATACATAGCAAAATTATTCTTCTGGTTTTGGAAATGATTTAGCCATCTCCATGGTGTCAGTGTGACTGTGTTCCTATGGGAACAAGCTGCCTCAAAGCAAGAGGCTTCTAGGCAAGAGTAGGTGAATCCTGGCTAAAAACTTGGGGTTTAGCACAAAACTAAATATTCTGTAAATATCAAATATTCTGCAATATTCGGACTAAATTCACTCATTTTCAAAACTCATTGAAAGGGTTCTTTTTTACTCTTCCAATGAAGCAAGATGCAATCAGCTGTGTTCAAACCATCTTTAGGACTGACTAGTAGATACTTGGTAGCAAAAACCTGTTTGCACCCTCCTTGCAACCATGATGTTACTTCCCAGAGCTGCACTCTAATGATGATAACCCTTTTGAAAATCACCGTACCACAGGAGTAATCCCAAAGGCTTTAATAGGACTACTGCTGGATTAAAGTACTATTCTTTGTGATGGAGCATATCAGAATCTTGCTTTATATTAACATTTGCCTTAAATGCGTATCTCCCCTGAAACAAACAAAGTCTTGTTGTGTATATTGTAAGGGGTTTATGTTGCTTTAATGTTAACATGCAGCAGGAACAATGCTTACAGAACAAAACCCTGGAACTTCAAAGCTCTCTTGAGTATGCCTTGAAAAAAAAAGAATTCTGAGGAAGAAAAGCATTGAGCTGACCAGTCAGTCAGAAATCAGACTGCTGCAGCTAGCCAAAGATGTCTTTGAATCAATATTCTGAGTGTTCATTCCCCTAACTGAAGCTGATCGAATGTGCTTTATTTTTAACTCCAAGCTGTTAAAATCACCATCAAACTGGCTGTCATGCCCATAACATATGAAGGAGATGGACCATAACCTGAGGTTTTCTGCCAGCAGGTAATGAATGAATGGACTGGAAATTACAGGAAGGCTCGGACTCGAATTCCAAGGCAGGATTGTAAATTGTGGGAAGTGGAGTCAGACGTGCTGTACATCAACAGTACAGATGTAAGTAAAACCTCAAGGGTAGTCCCATCTGGTACTACAAGTCCATAAATACCAGTTTTCTAGAGGAAAGAAATGAAACAAGGGTGCTGGAGCTGTATCTTCCAGTCCTGGTCTCATCTTTCCTGTAAACCCTGCTAAAATGTCTTCTGTAGCTCTGTTCTCAGTGCAGGTTCATTCCTATCTTGTGCCTGCTGTTATAGTCCTGTCTTCCCATTCTGATGCCCTAACATCTGTACAAGTCCCCTTGCTTCCTCGCTTGAGGTACAGAGGGTGTCTAGGGTGAGACATCCACATGCTAAAGGCATAGGGATCATTTGTGTGTGCCGTTTCCCCTGTCATCGTTAGGGCAGATAGTGGTGAGTTGGCCCTAAGAAGAAATCCTAAAAGTGCTTAAGACACCTTTAGATTTAAGGCACCAGTAAAAAACTCCACGAAAAGGTCTTGGTGGTAATATGGTGGCATTGACACTTGGTGTTGAGAAAGCACATTTCAAAAGAGATCTGTTGCCTGCACTGGTTCATGCAGTACTAGTGTTATGGGCCATCTCAGCAGCTCGCAAGGGTCCCCAATGTCCCACCTCCCCATACAGTTTTACTTGTGAATTATTAGGGGTAGAAAGCATGTTTGTGAGAAAAATAAGTGAAGAGGAACAGGCTGTAGAGAGCAGTTTAAAAATTGCAGAACCTCAATTAATGTTGAATTCCACTTTCTAATCTGAAGACAATTCCTGGTTTAAATTTTGTGCTGCTCTAAACAGCAATGGCACACTGTCGCTTCTCCCTATTTTTGTTCTTAAGGAGGTACAGGAATCTTAAACTGACAGCTAATCAGCATTTCAGTGGACTAGATGTAATATCTGATAATACATCATGAAGCATACTGTGCCCTTGGAAACAGCATTTTGCAGTTTCTGTCTGTAGAACCCTTAATAGCTCACAGGAGAACCACACAGTGAAAACATGGGTGTGTTAATCCTTTGTAGGCTTGAATTTGCTGCTCCTTTGTAGATGTGAATTTGTTTGAAAAGCCATCTGCTGGTCTTGAGCCTTTAGTATTTGCCTGCCAACCAGAATGAGATAGGTGGGGAGTATGTTGCTCTTACTGTTCTGTACAAGACATACCTGAACTGCAGAGAAAAGCAGGAGAACGATGGCCCATAAAGGTAAGAGGATGATAAATGCAGGTAAGGTCATTTGTCCCAGAACTTCAAATGCTCGAATTCAGTATGCAATTGTTTCCAAAGTGGATATTTTTAAAGGGCATCACGCCAAGTAATTTTAGGCCAAATATGTGGCTATTTAAGGAAATACATTACAGAGCATTAAAGGCAACTCCCATGAAAAATCATTTTAATTGTGCCCAAATCTGTGCAGTTGTGCCTCAGTTCAGAGCCAAGGACCCGGTGAGGCAGGACACTGTAATGCTCAGTGCCAAACAGACTGAGGGCCAGAGCTCTGAAAGGGGCACATCATGTTCATGGGGGATATTTCTTTTCCATCTCCACTTTGAATATTCCCTTGCAAGTGTTGTGTTATTAAATGTAAATACAATAGCCTTGTGTGGATGAAACCTAGAGAGAGCATCTCCCTGTGTGAAATGTGCCAGCTCTGTTCACCATTTGCAGGATAAACCCTGTTTCCTGCCAGGGTGTCCCACGTTGAACAGGGAGTTTCCTCTCCCCAAACAATAGCGGCGTGGGTCAGCATTGCCCTGGGCGTGAGTGGTTTTACAGGGGAGGAGGTGCGCAGGTGGAAGAGAAATGGTTTGCGATAGAAGCAGGACCGATTTTTCCATGACTGCACCAGGATGGTGCTATGTCAGCCCCCGTTGGCGTGGGGTTTGCTGGTTTTCCACCCACCATGTGGACAAAGAGACTTTCCCCTAGACATGGATGTGGTCCCTGACGTGGGTAGTGCTCCGTGCTCATCCCTTTGCCCTCCTGCAGCATCTCCTCTGGAAGGAGAGCAGCATTGCCTGCGCAACTGATGATTTCTGCAGGCTGAAGTCCATCAAAGCTATCTAAAGATTCTTTAAAACACAGCGTGAACAACTTAGGGGCTGTTTTTTCCTTTCGCATTAGCTGCATGAGGAGGAAAGCACATGGGACATGGGACATGGCGATGCTTTGTCTTGTGCTGGAGCATGGGTGCTTCAGCAGGACAGGCTGCCAGAGGAACGTAATCTCTGCCCCACTCTTCCTGACCAGGGCTGATGGAGCTGTTTTTTTCCAGTGAATTTCCAGCTATGCTATTAAAATAAACTTCTCACTGAAAGCTTCTGCCTTGAAGCAGCCGCCCTGCCTCTGTATTTGCCTCTGTTCTGTAACTCTCTGTGCTGTTGAATGGGGATCTCCTCTCCCAGGCTATCTATCTCCTATGCAGCTGAAATTAACCCCTATGCAATCCTATGGAGCATTAATACCCACTATTTAAGGGCTTAAAAGCATCCTGCCCTGTGATAAGTTATCCAAATGCTATACATCAGCTGTATCGCAACCTGAAGTGAACTGGATGTTGTGCTATGCCTTATTCCTGTTTTGTCATGAAGTCACTAGGCAAGAGGGTTGGGGTTTGTCTGCTTTTATTCTGTTTTGTTTGTGTTTTAATAATCATTATTTGCAGCCAAATTCTAAAGTCCATGGTTAGGGACCCTACGGTCAAATTTCCCTTAACTCTTCTTAGGGGAGGGAAAAATTGAGTCAGGACCTTATGATCAGAACATAAGCAAACAATCTGTTGTGGCAAACTCATGAGGGGATAAAAAAATATGATGATTCAAGGCAACAATATGCTCATCCTGAGATCATCATTTTCACAAAGGCAGGGGGTAACAGCTGTCTGTTCATCAGAGGATTATATCTTCCTGCTGTTATTTCTGTGACCCTAAATAAAACCTCTAATGCCAGCGCAGCAGCGTGGCCAGAGAAAACAGCAATGGCAGGAACAAATCCCTCCCTTCTGCTCTGGAGAGGTTTCTGTGGATGGAGTTGTTTTTATGGAGTCTTAACTAAATTATTTTTCCTGTTAGGTCCAGAAGGTAGAGATTCAAATAATCTCCCACCTTCTAAAATCCTCCTCTCTCCCTTCTAAAATCATAGGTGAGGAGTCCCCATCCTGATGAAGATGTAATAGAAAGATGTATACAAATACAGTGTTTAATTCCAAGATTTTCCCATATTTTAGTTAAGAACTCGCTGGATTATGAAGCTTAGGTTGTGCTAGATTTAAAAACACATGTGTGTCCAAGAGCACATGAATGAATATGAGCATTAAATTCTGCTGACCATTCACTTCAAAATTTTTCCACCGCATGTGATTCCAGGACAAATATTGATTGAATAACCTCTCTGTGTGTGAAGTGTGGTCTGACACCCACAGTGACCTTTCTCTTCCCTGTCTAATCACCAGAGATAGCTGTAAGCTTCCTTTTGTACCAGAAATCTTGTTTCATAACGCAGCTCCCCTGCTCTTTGGAACCTGAGTTTCTCTGTTTGTTTGTTCAGCCAATTGAGGTCTGCTGGGCTCTTGCTCTGTTTGATTTGCCTGTTAGCTTTGTCACTGGCTGAAATGGCCCCAGGGCTGGTTTGTTCAAGGCTTTTTTTTCCTCTGGAAGAGGTGGTGGAGGGTTTTGTTCTCCACAAGTTGGATGGCATCACTGCATGTGAGGTTTGCCTCGCTGCCAGCTGCTCATCCACTCAAGCAGGTGGCATGGTGTACGTGCTCACACGTGGTCACCGAGCATCTGCCCAGTCTCTAATGGGTTTTATTCAATGGGCCTCCCTTTTATCTATAAAAGCACCATGGTTTTAGATCTGACTTTTTAGGATTCAAGGTGACAACAACATTTCTCACAGAGATGATGAGCCCTTGGGGCAGGTGGAGAGGGAAGGACGTTGGGGCTGGTGCTTTTTGGACCGGCTCAGCCAAAGCTGGGGAAATACTGGGTGTAGCAGAGCAAAGAAGTTTGAATGAGATATCCTCTCTCTCTCACGATTGCTCTTTATTACAAGGAAAGAAGACAAATATTACAGCTGACTTTACAATTGCTTTCACAAACACAGAGTGCAGTGTATAAGGCTCCCGTGGAGTCCGTATCTCCCCTGAAGGTTTCCCTTGGGAAAGCTGGTGGAGTGCCTGGGTTCCCCCACACCCTATCCATACTCCACTGCCCTCCATGTCTTCAGGACATGTGCTAAGACCTATGGTGATGGGTCCTGGGACCTGTGGGGTTTTTATTCGTCTTTCACTGGTGCCATCACCAAAATTACTAATATCCAGGCCTCCAGCTCCCAGCAAAGACGTGCATATTTGTGGAGCACACATAGCCCTCTTCTAGCCTAAGCCTTCTTCTCATGTTAACTAAAAATACTCATAATGGCTTCCTGTGAGATTATGATTCTTGATTCTCTCTATAAATATACATATAGAAACACACCCACACTATATATCTCAGTAAATGCATATATACATGCATATATATATATCCCTGCTCTTCCCTTTCCTTCTCTTCTCACAGGCTGAGTAGTCCCAGTGAGAGGACAGTAACTTTCCATCACAAATGCTTTTCCTGTGACTGTTTTTTGTTTTCTAAGCCTGTGAAAATATTTTCATTTTGGTTGTCTATAAATAAATAGAAATTTGCCTTCCAGAATGTGTTACTAGAGCAAATCAAGTGCTAGGATTGATGCCTTTTAAACAAATACTCTCATGATTTACATGCAGATAGCGCCCTAGTGTAAAAAGTACCATGATGATGAGCTGAGATCTCTGTTACACAGTGGTTAATTATAGCAGTTTCAGTTTTGGTTGCTCTATTAGATAGTCAGATCTCAAACCAATATGCTCACACCTCTTTGTTACAGCATCTTAAAGACACAATTGAAACCAAATCTCAATCCTCATAGATCCAACCCTGCCTGTGAAGCCATGCACATGCTGAACCAAGGGGACAAACAGATGCAGGAAGCCTTCTTCCTCCCCAGCCTGGCTTAACCTAGCAAGTACAGACTCGTGCACAGACTTCAGCTGCCAGCAGAAGTGATTGCGTTCTCCTCCTCATCCTCCTACTCTTCAGCGCAGTAGCAGAAGATTGCTTTCCCTGACGATTGCTCCTCCATGGAGTGTGTAAGCTGTACGTCCAGACAATTGCTCAGGTATAACCTCTGATGCAGGAAATCTCCAAACTGGTGAAGCTGGGATGCTGTGTCACAATGGCTTGCTATGCTTTACCTGTATCTTTTTCTATACTCCTTAAGTCACAGCTGTGGTTTAGTGGACCTCTGCTCTTACTAGAGGTGCTGCTCTTCCCATAGCTATATTTTAGACGTATGGACCAAGCCTTGCAGCTGCTTTTCAGTTTTAAAGTTTCAGTATAAGGGAAAGGGGAGCTTTGTCAGGATCTGGCCCTTGGTGGGGAGGCCCATCCATGCAGCATGCACTGATGTGGAACAGATTGTGCCAGATCATTTTGCATTTGGGTCACTGTATCAGCTGCTCACTTTGACCTGCATGTTTCACTGTCCATTTCCCTGGTGCATGCTTTGGAAAGCCCTGCTCCAGAAATGTCCTCCTGCTGAGTGAGCAGGCTGAATAGTAGGTGGAGGCTAGAGAGATCCTTGCTTCTTTTAAGATATGCACGGTCAGCAGACGCGGTAGGTTGAGCCTAGTTGAACATCAGGTGCCCACCAAAGCTGCTCTACCACTCCCCCTTAGCTGAACAGGGGATAGGAAATATAACAAAAAGCTCATGGATTGAGCTAAGGTCAGGGAGAGATAAACTCACCAATTACAGTCATGAGCAAAACAGACTCAACTTGGGGAAATCAGTTTAATTTGTTACCAATAAAATCAGAGTGGGGTAATGAGAAATAAAATACAAATCTTAAAACACCTTCCACCCACCCCTTCTTTCTTCCCAGACTCAACTTCCCTCCTGAATCTCCGTCTCCTCCCTGTTCAACTCTGGGACAAGGAATCCGTGTTTTAGGGCAGGGATGCCTGCTTTGTCAACTCTGATTTCCACAGTGATCTAATCCTTCTGGGCACCGCAACTTTACCTGATGGCAGAGGCTGCACCATAGAAGGGGTATCAGGAATCCCATGGTCTCTCTCCTGTGTTGGTCTCCTTGGAAGCTACATGTGCTGTGTACCTCTATACAGCACCTTCCTCCCTTCCCTTCCCTTCCCTGTGACTCACTGGCCTCATGTTCATGGTGGCTCTGCTGTCTCAAGGAACTTATCCAAGGAGAGCAGACTGCATTTCTGAGCATAGGAGAGAGCCAAGGGAGCACAGGTCTTTTCTCTTCCCCCAGTCCCCCAGGAATGCTCCGGCTTTAGAGAGCTGACTGGGGATACAGGTGCAAGCCAGGGGGATGGGTGCCTTGGAAAAAGGGGGGGCAAGGCCAAGGAAGACTCCCAAGGAAATTCACATGTGTCCTGGACAACCCAACATGGTCGTAGTGGCATCTGGCAGTATTGTTTCAGGCTGGGGATGCTGCTGTACTGTACTCCATGGAGCTGGTGCATTACCCAGTCTTCCTTGTTATGACTTTTAAATTAGTATATTCTTCCAAGTTTTAATCTTTTTCTTATCACAAGGCTGTTGGGTAGAATTAAATCCTAACTTGCATCCATCTGGGAGCTGAAAATGTCAGTGGAGGCTGAAAAGTGGTCTCTGCTGAGGGACCATCATGCTGAGATGTGCTCCACACTCCTGCTGGTACAGCTTGCTGAGGTGGAGGATGTTCCTGCTTTGTGGCAGCAATGGTCATAGCTGCATGTGGGTGGCAGATGTCAGTATGGTGTGATGCAGGCAGGGATGGATGTCTGTCCTCATCCCACAGGCAGTAGGACCCTGACCATGTGAGATTTCAGCCTCTTGAAGCACTTGCAGGAGCACAGCTTGGTAGAAAATGGGAGATAATACAGAGAAAAAGAGAAGGCCCAATGATGTCTGACCAGTTTGCAAGCATCCCCTGATAAACTCAAGCTTGTCCCCAAAGACACCTCCACAGCAGCTGTCTGGAATTGTTTACTGCCTCTTATTATTTTTTCCCCCTTTTTTTTTTTTTTGTTTTGTTTAATTCTTTTTGCCATTGCCTTGTTCATGGAAAGCATTAGAAATCAGGAAGGATTTCCAGCCTAGTGCTGCACCCGAAGCCTTCAGCACAGGACGGTGTCAGAGCCCCAGCTGTGCAGGCATCTCATGTGACGGGACTGCCTCATATCAATGCATGGCTTAAAAGAGATTACTTAAAAAAGCTCCTTTGCGGGGGAAAGTGAGAGCGTGGACCAGCTATTCACACTCAGCAATGCTTGCAAAGTGAAATCATCTCACTTGGGACCAAAGGGCAGACAAGTGAACAAGGCTGAGCCGCTTCCCCCGTGTCTTCTGTTTGCCTGGTGGGAGGACGCAAGGCATCACCTGTGAAGTTTGCCATTTCTGCTCATTTGGCTGGTGGGTCAGTTATGCCAGCAGTGCCACAGCCAGCACAGCCGGTCATCCAGGAGAGTGCCGAGGCAACTGTCCCGCTTGATACCACTGCTCAGGAATTTTAAAGGACCTTGGGAATTTTAAAGGGTTTGAAAGCTTTCCATCGCTCTGCTTTCGCAAGAAGGTTTTCCCTGTGCTTGTCTGAGGTTTTGATGCTCAGAACAAACAGATGCTCTTTTAGAAATGGGTCAGAAATACTCTGCTTTATTTCACACTGTTCAGTACTGGAAGCTAAGCTTGCAAACTGTCCCTGCAAACCTCAGCCATTCCCCCATTCCAGGTACTTGTTGCTCATGCTGCGAGCTCTTGCATAGCATGAGCGGTTGGAGACCGTCTGTGTACAAGCTGGGGAAACTTATGTAAATATTGGTGCTTTGGGGCTGTTATTTAGAAGGTGCTGGGCTAAATGATTTATTAGTGTGCTCAGGGCTGATGCTGAGAGGGTTCTTCTCAGGTTGGCTTTTATCACTGACACCTCCTTACAGGGTCTCACTTACTGGAAAATTCCTGGTAACTGGATAGTGGGAGGGACCTGCAGCCCCACATCACATAGCTGATGATCTTGTGCTCGAAGCTGTGTAATACCTCACAGCATAAGAGAACAAACCCCACGGGCACAGAGGCATGGCCCTGTGACAGTGAAATCTGATGGGAGAGGCTGCAGCCTCTGCACTAGCTGTAGCTCATAGTTTCTCCCTCTGTAGTTTGTGTGTTTTGTTTTTGTGCAGGGGCTGAATTAGAGGTGCCAGGGCAGCAGTCAAAAGTTCCTTCTAACTGTACAATCCCTGAGCAGAGACCGGGCTGACACTGTGTGTGTTTGTTGGCCTTCCTCTACTAAGGGAAATCCTTCCTTTAGAAACCACAACAGTCTAAACCTCATTTAATATCAGATTTCGGGTCACTTATTCATCCCTGCTGCTAACAGCAGAGCAGACCCTGGACATGGGGAGTCTGTTTTGATGTTCATGAAGCTTTATTTGTTGGGTGTTGCTGGATCCAGCAGCCCGAAAGGTGAGGATAGCTTGAGGCCAGGATGAGCATGAATTACCAGTAGGAACACACACAAAACCTGGACACGCCTGGACACAACAGCACAACGCAGTGTCATAGTTTAACCCCAGCTGACAACTAAGCCCTGCATAGCTGCTCACTCACTCTGCCACTGACTGGGATGGGGGAGAGAATCAGAAGGGTGAAAGTGAGGAAATTCATGGGTTGAGATAAAGACAGTTTAACAGATAGAGCAAAAGCCATGCGTGCACAATAAGGAGTTCATTTACCACTTCCCATGGTCAGGCAGGTGTTCAGCCATCTCTAGGACAGCAGTACTCCATCATATGTAATGGTTACTGGGAAGACAAGCAGCATCACTCCCAACATCCTCCCTTCCTTCTACCCCCAGTTCTGTATGCCGACCATGACACCATATGGTGTGGAATATCCCTGTGGTCAGTTGGGGTCAGCTGTCCTGGCTGTGTGTCCCACCCCCCCCCCCAACTTCTTGTGCACCCCCAGCTTGCTCAATGGTTTGGTGGTGTGTAGAGCAGAAAAGGCCTTGGCTCTGTGTAAGCACTGCTCATCAGTAATGAAAACATCCTGTATTATCAGCACTGTTTTCATGACAAATCCAAAACACAGCTCCATACAAGCTACTATGGAAAAAATTAACTACCCCAGTCAAAAGAAGCACTGGTAGAAAACAAAGCACTCACACAAGCAGCACAAACAGCTTCAGTCTTGTCCCCCTCAGTGTGTGATCGAGATGAAGGTCCATCAGTGGGAAACACCTACGGACACACCATGTGGGCAGCAGCTGCCCTCATACCTCCACACTACCCAGTAGCTGCTGGCACCTGGGGGCACACAAGCCCCTGAAGGCCCCAGCCCACTCCAGTTGCAGGCACAGACCCCCTTGAGCACATACACACACACAGAGGCTGTGGACCACTCCAGTAACCAGCCGTGGACACTTAATCTCCCTTGCAGCTGGACCAGGGTGCTCACCTCTCCCTTTGCACAGACACATGTACATGCACAGATGGGTCATGCAGTGAACCCCAAACTCCATGTTCTCCCCCATGGTGGACCTGGCTCCTGTGGCCCTGCTAGCAGCCAACTCCCCCAGATGTCTCAATGGCAGGGGGACACACGCTCCTGGCCCGGGTGTATCTCTGCATTGGTACCTGGCTGCCCATGCACCTACCCCACTTGCCTGCCAGCAGCAGTAGCCCCTGCATTCCTACCCAGGGAAGCAGAGATGGTGTTTAATGAACAGACAGCACAGACAGCAGCAATGAGATTCAGGGCATGGCCAGGCAAGCACACTGACCAGCCACTGTTGATGAGCACCGACTCATCTTATCTCTTAATTTCCCCCCACTCATTATTCCCCAAACCACTATGATCCTTTCTTGTTGCTGCTTTTGGTTCCTCGTAACATCCTATGAGTTTGTGCAATCCCAAGATGCTGTTCCCCTGTGACCCATAACGTGCTACCTGCCCTCAGTCTGATGTGCTTGGGAGAGCCTTTCTCATTGTCTCGCTGTGATGGA